ATTCACACTTTGGTGACGACAGTTCCCGAGGAGTACCTCCCCCCAAGGAACTTTCGTCATGTATGACAAAAGTGCGTTCGTCATAATGACGAAAGTGTGGTGTGACGAAAGTTCCATAATCCCTTTATTTTACGCCATGAATTTCTGTGTTTTATGCTGCTAGAGAATTGCTCCTTATACCAACCAGGAGCTGAGCATCTACTTCTTCATTCTCGAATAGCCATGGCGGCTGTTGGAATGATCGCATCCTTTTCCAGACAATTCTTTTCCATTCGACAAGTGAATGAGTTTCATTTTCATCATTCAACGGTAAGGCTACTGGTTCGTCAGCAGGATCATGATAAAAACGGAAAAAGGGATGTCTCAATGCTTGATCGGCTGTCGGCCGATTACGAAAATCAAACTCAAGTAATGATGCTAAGCAATCGATTCCTTGTGCCGATAAATTCGGAAATAATAGCTGAAAATCTTGTTTTTTCTTGATGCCGATATTGTTTATTATGTTCGCTCGTAGATCAGACATACACAGTTCGTTTAGATATTGTTCACCTGGTGTTCCCATAATCTCTATGATGCTCTTTAAGTATGCAATACAATGATCAGTGGAGAATAATGGTTTATATAACAGCAATTCAGCCATAATACAACCAACCGACCAAATGTCATATTTCTCTGTGCAAAATTTTTCATCACACATGATTGCCTCTGGTGCACTTGTGCGATCATATTGTCCTTCATACTCCGAATGCCAAGCAGGTGTTGAGTGCGTTTTCAACAGATAGATGTTTGATTCATTGTCAATTCCAATGTCAGAAGTCTTCAATTTTAGATTAACGATTCCGGCTGAATGAACATATTTTAGTGCTCTTAGTACACAGTAGATAATCATTTGTATGTTGGCTTCTGTTAATTGGTATCTTCTGGAAACTAATTGAGAAAGATCGTACGAAACATAGTTTTTGACAAGATATAATTCATTGAGCATATTGAAATTCTCATTTGGAGTATAAACATTGAGTAGTTGAATAATGGATGAATCTGCATGATTTAAATGCATGAGGGAGTTTAATTGACGATACGCCCGTTTTGCACCTTCTTCGCTATAAAACTGCTTGGTGATTTTTTCAATCATTACATGCTGATTGGTAAAGATGTCTTTTACCTCTAGCTTACCATGTTTTATGTAACGTACTATTTGATAACGGTGTAGTACTTTGTATTTTACGCCGTAATATTCAGTCTCAGAAAAGTCATCATCATTAATGTCTCTCACTTTTTCTGATTTGCAATGAGTGCAGTTCGATAGTCGACTCACCTGTAACAGAACAGGTTAATTTCCAGCTTGATGAGTCAGTCAGGCAAATATTATGGTATTGCTCAATGTACAATCAAAAGTATTACCATCATTTTCGCATATGAGCAAAAAAGCACAACAATGGGTATACTTACCAGAGTATATAAAGATGAAGCATACATGCTTTATTAGAATGACTCAAAAATAAGGCACAGTTTTCGATAAGAGATATTTGTTGAAATGATGAAACTGCAAAAAAATCGAAAAAGATAACCAGTAAAGTTGTTTCTTTGCCAAACGCAGCTGACCGTAGCAAAACGGAGTAAATACAAAAAGCTTTATACATACACAGTTAAATGCACACAACGTACACAAAAAGACAGGCTAGAAAAGCGTTGACAATACACACTGGAGGATTGTTTAAATTTCTAAGATCACTTACCGATCTATTTTATTAACATAAAAGCTCATCAGAAGATCTTTATATGGGATAGAAATTATAAGCTAGTGGGTTTATATCACAAACTTATTTGAGAGACCTTCTGGTGAGCTTTTATATTAATGAAAGTTCAACCGGTCGGTAAGCTATCTTCCATTCTCACTTGTGTGTTGTCGGTGCTTTTCTAGCCGGTCTCTTTCTGGACGACTAGGTGCGTGATGTATAAGAATCTGCTCTTTCTTTTTTCGAGTTGAAGAATTTCTAAAACAGGTTCAGTTGTAGGCGCAATTAAGATGAGGTTCGCTTTTAAATGCTTGCCCGTACCTAACCTGCGGTCTGGTTACACATCTCTATTACAAAACCCGTCAGTTTACAGAAAAGATGATATCAACATATAAGAGCATGTTTGAAGCTTTCAGTATATATGCAACAATAAGTATCTAACTAATTCACTAATCGTCTCCCATTTAGAATTGGCAAGCTATTGCTGCTTAGCAGTAAAATAACAGCTGTAGTAAGTTCGAAAGATTGAAATCAGAAGAAACTAAGCCAACTATCAACTATTTAAAAGATACCCAACGTTTTTAATCTCTACTTAGTTCTTCTTTTCTTTCCAAACTTTATTGCTACTTCTCTCTGCTTATGCGTGTATGTTCTTTTATTTTCTTTTTCTTTTTTCTTTTCGATAATTTGTATACTGTTGCATCTTTTCTTATGTATGAATAGACAAAATGATACAATGGGTTCGCCTCTTTCTTTTTGTTCTCTTCATTTATTTAAACTTGTTTCTCATTCTTTTCTTGAATAAATAAAGCTTATAACAACTAAGCCAAAACGTTTACTTGCCAGAAAAACTTTTGCTCTCAATTCTTCTGAAGCACATAGCAGTCTATGAGGCTAAAAATCACACCAAACCATGTCGAACAATAGTTGGTTTGTCCATGAGAAAAAGTTTATCAAAAGAAATGGTCCAGAACGTTTTATGGTCGAAGAGCGCTTTTTGTGAAAAAAAAGAACGCGACCGAACGCATTTCACAAACAGCAGAACATGTTCGAACGCATTCCTGGTAAAAACGGACGTGTTCCTTGTCAAAACAAACGTGTTGTCATTGAATGTGTCGGTAATCGATAAGAACGCGTTCACTACCGATCGCGTTCTATGACTGGGAGAACGCGTTTGAACAGTTCAGAAAGGACGCGTTGTTGCAGTGTTAGAACCCGTACGTGGATTTAGCGAGAACGCATTCCTGATTTAGAACAGTCCGTTCTTCTCATGCGCGTTCGGATGCATTCAATAAGAACGTCTCGGTAAGTGGGAGGAAAGCGTCCTCAGGAAGTCTCCAGCACAAAGCTGGAATTTTAAATTAAAGTTTTAAATTTTAAATAACTCCCCTTAGTAGCCATTGCACATAAACCACGACAACTTAAGCTAAATGACTATTTCAGATTTTTTTCTAAGTAGCCTCATCTTGTAGAGCATGGTCGCAAATCTGTAAATCCAAATTTGTAGGCTTCCCTAACTTTTCGTTCTGTAGATATGAAATATTTCGACTGGTGTAAAGTTCGAGAAGTTATGCGCGTGAAAAACGTACATTTTCTTTTTATCGTGCACTATTTTGCCCATAAGTCTGACACACTTAGGATTCGAAACAACCTGTTACAGCTCATTTTGTAGCTCTTTCATTTCTAATATCTTTCGGCTTCTAATCTCTATCTGTGGAAGAAATTATAATCATTTTTGTCTGTCACTACGACTAAAATCAATCTTCTTATCAAATATTTGAGCAATACATCTATGAAGACAAACTTTCGAAACCATGTGTTATAGCTCATTGTATAGCCCTTTCAATTCTAGTATCTGTCGGTAAAAGATCATCGAAATAGAGGGTATCAGCTAGGGACCTTCCCTCGTCAGCGGTTTCCATACGTCACGTTCGAAAAAGACAACGTGGATAGAAATACGAAAGAATATAATAGAATATATTAATATTATCACATATTATGTGAAGATAGGAAAAGAAAGAAAAAATACGTTTTTGTAATGTCTGATACAGCCCTAATAAAATACGCGCTTGACCTCAACAAACTCCTTTAAATTTTAGTTCAAAGCGTTGTAAAAACGACTTAAAAACGGTCCGTTAACTGGTCGTTAATGGCCTATTTACAGTTAAAAGCATCTTATAATGTATGTGAAAAACGGTCAGTTACAAACTTTAATTAGCCTAGGTGCGAGTTGAAGAAGCTTGACATTTGTTGAACGATTTAATAATAATTAAACAACTCATTATGAGTGATACCGGGTGAATTCATTATTGCTTTTCTTCTATCAGCAATTGTTCTGTTACGAAGTGCTGTCTTTAAACTATCATCTTTAATAGACTACCGCAGCTGGAATTATTTGAATTCGTTCATCAACTGTCCATGGATCTTACAGTCGATACTGTCTGTATTCGAATCTGTTCGTTTTCTATTCAAACAAATATTGTTAAATCAGTAATTTTCAATTTAATAGTTACGGTACCAGAAGATTCCAATCTCGAATAAGATTTGACCACGTAACTGTCACATTCATGACAAAACAAGTACTCAAATTTCAATGATTGAACTCAATGCCATAGCAGCCTATATAGTTGCAGAAACATCTAAGTCTTGAAAAGTTCGACGAGCCTTACTTTGCGTTTAGTCTTCCAGATTGCCTCTCTGGAACAAAAAATATTCGTCATAGTCTGAATGGCGCCAATAATGTTCATTTTACTTCTCTGACTTCAATATTAATGAGAAAAGACATCTCCGAGATAAACTGCATTCAGTCGGAAAAGTTTTGATGAGATCGAAGATTTTGATGTTCAACAGATAAGAAATAGCTTCCGAGAAAAGTACATTACATCATAGATGCGAATAAATTTATATGAAACCTATCAGGAGACCTCGAGAATGGTTTTAAAGGTTTTTGAAGCTTTTAGTTTGTTGCTCTATCGAATGAGCTTGGTTGCAAAATAAAAATTTCATCGTTAACAGAAACGGTTCTAGGATGCAGCTAATGCAAAAATAAAGCAGCATTTTTCTTAACTTATTACACACCATTCGGTAGAATTTTTCGAGCTGATCACGAATATGTAGTTTTCAATTTTTCGAAACGTCTTTTTCATAAAATTGAACCACCTCAAAACTCGAAAAAACGATGATGTTCACCAAAGTTAGATTTTCGACTTGACTTATTGGTCAGAACATTCAAATTATTTTCTTCTTATTCAGTGTTGATTGAATGGAGAAATGTTTTGAGATCTCAATAATGTCGACTCTCACTCATCTTTGAGGGAAAAAAAATCGAACTGCAAAAACATAGCTGTTTGCAAAATGTGTGATTGCGTAAATGGAAGTGTAATTCTGTAACGATAAATATTTTAGCTATTTAAGCTTTAGCTCTGATGCTATAACAAAATTATTTTGTCCAATTGATAGCCCGTGCACTTTTCTACAACATTAACAACAAAAGTTTTCATGTAAAGAATGGAGATTAGTTGAGTTTTTGATAACTTCAAATTGCATCGGAATGCCTATTTCATTCTTGTTGATTCCGTAACTGTCAATATTTTTCCTATAAGACACGCACCATACATTCAAGTTTAATCGAACTCTTAGAGATTGTTGAGTACAAGGTTACACAGATGTGGTAAAAATTCAAGGTTGTTATCTTTTAAATTGACCAAGAAATTACAATTAGAGGCGGAAAAAATGTGATTCTATTACGATTATTTTGGCCGAACTATTATTTAGCGAATAACGAGTCTGATCAAATGACATTTCATGCGTATTTATAATTGTGAGGGTGTCGAAAAAATCTATACATATAAACAGGCGATGGACAAAACATTTCATCCTTCTCCAGAATCCTCTGCACTTTCTCTGTGACCAAGGCACTGACAGGATCTATCATTATTTTCAAAAAAGACATTCAATTGAAGAGAATTTTCACTTTAAACAAACTTATTCTTTCTTTTTCAATGTTGAAAATGCACTAAGATCATTTGGACTTGGCCAAAAATAACTAAACGATATGAGTTTATTATTAATTTTTGTAACAATCGCTTGACCATCATTAGTGCATTGACCAGCAATTATTTTTTCGTGAAATACATAACGATGATCATTAGCGTCTTTCTTTAATACTGTCCATTCACCACTGCCGTCTAATGACGGATATTCAATCAAGTATTTATTTTCATTTTCATCAATTGTTAATCTAATACTCCACGTACTTGCGCTATTCAATTGATAACCGACACCAGTCCAAACACCATTAAGCCAAGATGATGAGTTTGGTATTTCTACTGGAAAAATGCAATCAATTAAAAAATTTTCATGTTTACTCATTAAATGTGTCAGAAATGATTGTTTAACTCCATTTGTAAAATTTTCGCATACAGGACAGTTGAAAAGACGTTTTGAACAGTATCTGGCATGAGTTTCTTTGTCCGAGTAGTTTACTGTTTGACCACAACCATTTAAACATGATACTTGTAAATTTCCAATTAAGCGGCGAGCAAAATGAGCATCAACAGCAGTAAATGTTTGACGACAATTGGGACAATTTGAGTTATCAACTTTTATTAAACATATTTTACAAAATAATTGATGACAGCAGCTAGTCTCTACAGCGTTTTCAGCCAAATTGAGACATATCATACACGATAGCTGAGAATCGTAACTACTGTTTCTCCCATCTTTTCTTTCTGACATATCAGTATTTTATTTTTCTGGTTTTCGTGTTTTTGAAACTTTGTTATTGTTCTACTCCGTATATAATCTTCTATCAAATATGCTTCTATGAAAAGTCAATAAACTACAGCGTGTATATAGAAACTCGAGATATATGAATGAAGTTGTAGAAAAGGTGGAGACAAAATAATTTCATTCTACTGGTTTTTTCTGCTCCTTTTTATACGACGACAACGAGAAATAAGAAGAAAAAAACGTTGATTTGAAAACTGTGATTGTAAGAAGAGAAACCTGAAAGGTCTTTCTGGTATAAATAGAGCCAGTATGAGAAACGTAGATCCTCTATAGATGAGTGTGAGCTCCCACATCTGTATTACAATCCGAAGACCACAAAATTGATGAGCCTCTTCGTTCAATTGTTGGGGATTAAATCACCTACAGCCGAGCTTTCAAGTTTCCTTGATCAGAAACTCCGTCCCATCTTTAATAAAGCTACCGCACACTATACTTTAGAAAACTCTCTTCAGTTCTTACCATCTTGACAGCTACACTGTGTCCTTGACGATCCGACAGTTCACCTTTGACATTACTGACTTATACACTATGCTTCCTCAAAATGTATCACAATGAGTGATACACTTAGGACCATTACTGTACGTATGAATATGGTGTTCGAAAAGCTTTTAGCAGATGAAAAGGTTTTCTGGAAAAAACGAGCTTAAGAAGGCTAGACATTGCTTCTCAAGTACACATGAGTTTGCGAAAAATCTAATTATGGTTATAGAAAAATCCGTAGAGAATAACGGTTGTTGGTTATTTGATCAGCGTACCGGCGATCAAATTGAGAAAGCTTTTAGAAATGAAAAAACTCAGTTACTTATTGCTGACTTTATTTACATAATTGATTTATATTCATCAATACAATATTGTAAAAGCAATATAGATTGTGGAAGAGAAATTGAACGTGAACGACCTGAGAATATTTCCTTAGTAAATGAAATTGCAGGAGTTAAGGCTGAGAAATGATTTTATTGTTTCATTATTATTATGCAATTGTCTAACATTGTTTTAAATTTGTAATGACTTTGGAGTGAAAAATATACTGAAACAATACCAAGGAACAAAACTGTATTCATCCATCCATTTGTGTTTGTTTAAAAAACCATAAAAATAAACGTTAATAAAAGTAAAAATACATGTAATATTATGTATAATGATTCTAAGATTTTTTCTGCTATTTGAAAATATTCTAATACTACATTATGATCATCTTGTTCCAGACGAACTAAACCAGAATTATTATAAATAATTGCTCTCATTTCATCCGTTTCCTGTGGAAATTCAACGAATAATCGTCGATAATAGTCTTCAGCTTTTTAATATTCACTAGCTTCTCTCAAAAAGTCACCGAGTGTTAAAAGAGACTATTCTCATTATTTGATTATTTAAACGATTCAATAATTCAGTAGAACGTTTATCCTTTTCATAGTGTAATAATATTAGCAAATAGTTTTGTGTCTAATTTATCACACGAAAATTATTTCAAATGTATCTGAGCTCATTCTGGGTTGAAATTAATGGTAGTCCATACAAAAAACAGTTTGGATTTCTCCCAACACAACTAATAGACGATAGAGAGCGATCTTTGTGTGTATAAAAAAGAATTCCATGAAAAAATTACACATGGATGAATGTGAAGTGCTATCTTTTATAGTAAAATTCGTTCTAGACATTCTGATACGTGTTCGCAAGTGAAACTCTTTTACGGAAAAATCCACGCACGGTCATTACACGCTTCTCGAGTTTCATTAGCGGTCACGCGGCAGAAACATCACATATATGTTTTCGTGAACTGTTCAAGTCTGATCGCAGGTGGATAACATTTTCACGCGCGGTCACATATCTTTTCACTATTGACCACGTGCGAAAAATGTGATGGCAAAATGTTCCGTGCACAATTCACGCCTGATCACAAGCGGATAATTTTTTCATACATGCCAACAGGCCATTTAACGATGTTTACCTGCGCTCACATTTCGTTTTACGACGTTCACCAGTGTGCACGCCGCTGTCTGTATTAAAATTTTTCCGTGGGTGGTTCGACTCTTACTTTGTGGTGATATATATAAAATGTGATATTTTAGAAACTAGTGGTCACTCGTGGAAAAAGTTATAGATGAAGTTGCATTGATGAAGACTGCATTATACCTTGACCACGGTCACCATGGTCAAGCTTTTTTCACACGTAATCGCACGTGGAAGGATTCACTTGTGTACACATGTGAACAATCTCCGCTCGTGAACACGCGTTTGATATTGCAAGTGCATGACCTCGAAGTCGTGAAACTTGCTGTCTTTACCTTCAAAATTTTGTGAAGCTCCAAGCGGAAGTTCACGAGTCCTCACACGTGAAATGTCGATAAAATTTCCCCATGTGTATTGTCCCTAGAATAGAAAAACTTCGTAAACCACTATAAACACTTTTTCTTCTGTTTCCTGCATTATATTAATTTACTTTCATTTTTTTTCTGGTGTAGCAGTAAAGGAGTAAAATAAAGGTGTTTGTAACATAATGTTGGTTTTTTCCAACTAGATAATGGTTGAATTCTGTGTACTATCAACAAAACAAATGTGAAAAACAAAAAAGTACTGAAAAATATATTATTCATTATACGTTTACCTTAATGTAATTTAAGCTGTGAACAAATTGCGATGAGGGCGGAACTACTACTGCAGACAGATAACAGGCTTTTATATTTCTCCATATAAAAAAGAAATATTATATCCGAGAACGATAGATTTCAATGAGAGTATAGGGTACCTGTATATTATTTTATAATATACTTTAGAAAAGTGTTTGAAATAACATTTTCGAATTCTCTTTGAACTTATAAGCAGAAATGTTTTTTTTTGGCCAAGAACAGCCAGGATCATCTTTTCAATAACAGAATTTAAGTTTGTGGTATCTCTGTTCCGTGGTATACCGACATTTGGGCACACGTCGTTTGGGCGCAAAGACAGTTCAAAGGCGTCGGTGCGGGTGAGTATGAGTATTGATGGAGATTAAACAAACAGTGATTACAGTTGCATATGAGTAATATAGAAAAAGCTGTCACTTGATACCAAGTTTGTTTAAAGAAAATTTTATCGTTATGCATCATACTTTAACAAATAGACTCTTACTGAATGCTTTCGTCGTGCATGCCCCAAACGTCGTGTGCCCGAAAGCACTTGCGCCCAAATGTCGGTGACTAAATGTCTGATAATCCTGTTCCGTATCTAGCACATCATACAGGGATTGATTTTATTAAAATCAGGTTTTTTACTGTTCTAGGCATAGGGTTACACGATGTCACAATGCACGGCGATGAACATTGATGTAGAGTATTACTCAAAAGTTATCCCTTATTAGGCATGGTACTAAGAGGATATCCGACAAGAAGCAAGGCTTCTTGGCTTGAGCAGCCTCTTTTATTCAATTGTGGTTTAGTTAGTTTCCAGCCTCATGATTCTTGACTCATTAAATGCGTGAATAAATAAATCCCTACAGCATTATGATCGCTTTTCAGTTAATTTCAGCCGTCTTACGCATTTAAAAAAAATGATTATATCACTTGCCTTTATCGAATCATAATACTTCGAGTGATGCTTGATAAATTTTCCACTTTACTACGAAACGTCACCTATCCATTATTTTACCATACAAACGAAAACAACCAGTTAATCATTTTTATAAATACCAAAGAGTAAATGAGACATTTCATATCAACATTACGCAAAACAATCATTAAAACTGGTAAAAATTCAAACACTTTTAATGCTGTTCGTAATTATCTGATCTCAAGCACACTTTCCCCTTCAAGCTCGGTTTTTCTCTATTTCATCTATCGGCTCAAATTGGACGCTCTTAAAGTATAGCCCCTTGGGGAAATGATCGAGACATCAGCAGATATTCTGATCATTTGACTGTCTGGTTAGATAAATACATTGGTCACCCGGAAGAAAGTGTCAAGTTGAAAGAAAAATTTCGACGATTCATTCAACCGTTATACACGCTGAGTCCAGAAGAACAAGAAATTGACGAACCTCATCCTCAACTAGAAGATCCTAAAATACTGGTTAAGCTTCAAGATACTGTTTATTGTTTGAAACCATTTTTTGACGTTGATGATTGTCTTACATTTATTAGTGAAAATGCCGACAAGAAGATATTTTTTATATCTTCAGGTACAATGGGCGAAAAGATCGTGCCACAAATTGCTGAATGCTCACAAATACATGGCATTTATATATTTTGCGGTAACATTTCATACCATGCAACAGGCTGGGCGATGGACTACTGTGATTATATAGTTTCAATGTTGGATCATCAAGATGATTTACTCGTGCGATTAACAAAAGATATCGTCGTATATTTGGAAGAAAAGGGCGATGGTTATTTAGTAATGCAGGAAAAGCTTAAAGCGCGAAGTTGTTATGCGTGGGCAATTAAATTAACATTGCGCTCCCGACAGTTGGGCAATAAAACTTTTAGAGATGTGCACGATAGGTTAATGAAAAAGTTTGACGATGTAGAAAAAGGTTATGGAACGGAGAAAGAAATGGATTGGGCAAATTAGATCGATGTGCTATGTTTCTTTCGTGTAAACCCCCTCCCAGATTAGAAGCCCCTGGGAGCTTCTATTCAGCCGTGCAAACTTTGGCCGAGTTTTGCTGGGAAAAACTGAAAATTTTGCTGGAGAGATCTCTCAAAGGACGCTTCTAATGGCAGGGGCTTCTATTACGAGAGGGATACTTTTCTGTCACATTGGTCTTGAAAAACAGTAGATGTAAAAGTCATACCATAATCTTACTTGATTCTATTGACTTTTGTTAATGATAGGACTTTTATCATTGATTGTAGCTAAATTCATTTCTTCTTTATTCTTATTTTTATTTTTATTTTTATTTATTTTAATCTGAGCTTTCGGATCACCGATTGATCATCAGAGTTAAAAATATTAAAATTTTAAATTGATGAAATTGATAAAAGTAAAAATGTTAAAATTCCTTTTTCAAA